GAGAGCCATGCAGATGTGTTCAGAGACCCAGCTGGAGTCAGGTATCCCAGCCTGTGCATTCAGGGGCTCTGGCTGTGATTGGGGTGGATCTGGATGCTAAGCGGGTTGTCCATAGACCAATTCCTCCCACGCAAAGCTATGCTCCTTGTGTGAGCCCACTCTGAGGGGGATGAAGTCAGCGTAGGTTTTTGTCTCAGTTCCCCTTTTGACTGGATCACTGTGTGAGCACTACCAGTCCAAGGTATCCCAGCCTGTGCATTCAGGGGCTCTGGCTGTGATTGGGGTGGATCTGGATGCTAAGCGGGTTGTCCATAGACCAATTCCTCCCACGCAAAGCTATGCTCCTTGTGTGAGCCCACTCTGAGGGGGATGAAGTCAGCGTAGGTTTTTGTCTCAGTTCCCCTTTTGACTGGATCACTGTGTGAGCACTACCAGTCCATATAGAACAGTAATAGTCAGCCTCGTCCTCTGCCTGCACACCGGTGATGGTCAGGGCAGCCTTGTTACCGGATATGGCCCCAGAGAACCGGTCAGGGATCCCGGGGAGTCTGTTATTGGTGTCATATATAAGTGTCCGAGGAACTGAGCCTGGTTTCTGTTGATACCAGTATGGACAGCTGCTGGTGGTGATGGCTCCAGTGCTCTGGCTGCAGGACAGCGTGACGGCCCCTCCTGGGGCCACCGACATGGAGGGCTCCTGAGTCACCACAGGCTGTGACCTGACCCCTGAAAGCAACAGAACAAACAAACTCAGCACAAGGACTCCGGCTCCTCACACACAAACCTCCTCACCTGCAGGTGGCCTCCATGTTGTGTCAGTGCAGCCAACAACCCCTCACCTGAGCAGTAGGTGAGCAGGGCACTCAGCTCTCTGAGGCAAATGGGTCTGTTCCTGGGTTCCCCCAATTCTCTCTTAAACCCTCAGTGCTGGAGAATGGTCCCTTCATGCAAATCTGACTTCCTTGACTGTGACTTACTGAAAATCTCAGTCCTGAGTATTAACGACTACAAAGATGATCTCACTTCAAATTCAA